TGGAAGCAGGAAGGCCACGAGGAGATGGGAACCTGGAGAATAAAAAGTTTGTTTAATTTGGAGGGAAAAATCATTCAGTTTGGCAAAGTTTGCAGGAAACACAACACAACTTTTATTACTTTATTACTATTACAGTATGAACAGAAGTGACTCCCTTCTGGCAGGTGAAGCTCTCCTGGCATTTACAAACTTCTGTTTATTGGTTTAACAGACGACCAGATCCAGACAGATAACATGCTTGTACTGATTTAGAGTTCTGTCTATCTTAGATTAGATCAATTCTGCACATAACAGTTCCTATCCAACATTTAGTGCCAATGCAGGGAGTACTGTATCCATAATACAAAACAACATAGAGCAGGAATGTCAAGGGAGTCACGTGAAGGAGACAAAGTCTTCATGGCTTATGTGGGGAATTAGACATATTAATGACATCATTTATCCCCTGCATGCAAATGTTCCACCAAAACAAGTTTCCCTCAACACTGTTTTGTAGGGGCACCATCGCTGCATCCTGGGCTTCGCACCGCCCAGGACAACTTTGATTAGTTTGATGAAAAGCAAACAAGCCAGAGCCTTTTAAAGTGTTAGAATGAGGTGCAGCCAGAACGTTCTTTAGTGCTGACACAGCAATGTGCAGAATGGTCCAGCTGTGTAAACATAATAAGAATAATTAAAAAGTAAATTGTTGCCCATTCCTAACCATTATTTATTCACCATATCCAGGATCGTCCTCTGGCCTCAACAATAGTTGTGTTGAATTTAAAAAAAAAGGTTGTTATGTGCACAGAAAACCTGCAGAAGACAGCAGCTCTCGTCTCGCCACAGGGTTGGTCTGTTGTTGTATTGAGGCTGTACGCTTGATTTCATACACCTGTTCACAATGGGTGTAGCTGTGGCAGCCGAACCCTCTAATTACTAATTACTAGTGTTGTAAGTGGCCATTGACTGCCACAACATTAAACATTCCAATGCAGTTACAGACCTCAAGCTTCACACCAGATTCAGCTGGGAGTGGAACGAGAAATGAATAACAAATTCCAATTGCCATGTATTTGAAAGCTTAGTCAGTCTTATGTTACTGGGAGATAAAAAACACTTATGATCCCTGAAAATGTACCATATGTGCAAACTACTGAACGAGGGCACATGAAGCTCTCTGGTTAGAGCAAAGCAGCTGAAATGTCAGCTTAGCAGCATCCTCCTAATTCTGTGACGTCGGCTGCTTCGGCACAAAGTGTTGGATTACTAAAGTCTTTCATCACCCGGGTTTGCAGGATGTGTTGTTTATCTAGTTGTGTTAAAGACTGCTAGGAAGGTCACTGGGTTGGTAAGAACCAGACTGAACCTAAAGGTCAACCACTTGGCGACAACAGTAAAAGTGAAGAGAGAGCTTCAGAGGGCATGAAGACTTGTTATGAGGCTGTTTTTGAGTTGCACGTAACAGCAGCAGTGTGGTTTTCTCACAGCGGCCAAAAGGCTGCCACAGAATGTGAAGCATCTGAGGACAAAACTGGCACGTGAACAAGAAACAATCAGCTATACGTGGCCTTAAATGGAGATTAAATCCAGTTCTTTATTGGCTCCTATATGAAATTCCACAATATCAGGTAACATTGACGAAACAAGCCCACATGAATTCCATGAAGCGTCGTACCCAGAACGCTCATCGGATGGGTTCACCCACATCAAAAAGACAAAACCTTTGGCAGGAAATATGAGGTTCACTTTCATTAAAACCTTCAGGCTGCGCATTACTAAAGGTAACTGGAACGCTGCTCCCACAAAGACAGACTAATATTGTAAATGTTCATTGCTGCAAACACCACAAATAAAATCTATTTTATTGCTACAATAAACTTTAATCTGCAATCGACATAAACAAACTGCACAAGCAGTGTTTTAGCACATTTTTGCCAGAGCCTATAAAGCACTTCTTGTAATTTTTGCTCCTCATTCACAGACCTCATGTCCAAGTACTGGCACATGTAGAGGAATCCAACAACCAACACTGTGATGGTTCATCAGTCACTCCACTGCCTGAGCCACAGCTTAAGTCAAGCTTTCTATTTCCTACCAGCGTCAAAATGAAACCAAATTTTATATAAACACCAAAACACTATTTGATATTTTCTGCCAAATGATTGAATTTAAAACGATGACTTTGCATAAGCAGCCGTATAAGAACCTTTTCTAGAGAAATACAGTCAAACAGTACTGAAGATAAAACCAGATACTGAAAATACAACCAAATACTGAAGATAAAACCAAATACTGAAAATACAACCAAATACTGAAAATACAACCAAATAACAACTACAAAAGCACAAAACAAAAAAAAGTCTTGAAAACAAAACCAAAAGCTGGAACTACAACCAAATGGCGACAATAAAAACATGCTGGAAAACAAACCCCGAATGCTGAGACTCCAAATAAAAGCTGAAAACAAAACCAAATGGCGGAGATGCAAATATTGAAAACACAAATGCTGAAAATAGAAAGAAAAGCAGGAAACCAGAAAGTGAACACAGGTGGGATGTTTTTTGAAAATAAGCTCACATATAAGTTTGTTTGAACACTTTGATCACACAGTTCAGATGTTCTCTTCAGATGCAGCGAACTGGGCAGTAAAAACAAAGAAGGATTATGTGGCTGTTCACGAACCAGCAGCTACGTCTCCTCCACTTTACTACATCTCTATCAGCCCATCTGTCAGAAGGAGCATCTCTATCCCACACCACAGGTCTGACCATCTCGCTCGCTTCCTCCGGATTTGACTGCACATTCACCCCTGCAACACATAGTCTGAGGTTTCCACACTCATGAACAGCCAGCAACCTCCAGTAAATCATTCCTCCGGCTCTGCACGCCGGGATGACATGCAATGACAGCAAAATTGGATCTTCTCTCTAGAAAGTCATTAAACAATTTAGTCTCGGAGCAGGAAGAGATCAGCAGCCGCACACACATGCTTAACATGCCACAGAAAGCTCCTCATCTCTCCACAGGGGTAGTTTAGAGTCTGTAATATTGAATTCAGGCGCAGATAAAGTCAGGACCAAAGAGTGGCAGCTGTGGATTTGATTATTATGCATCCTATTAATACAATACTGTCGCTGCAGTGTCACTGTTTCCAGGCTCATGTGATCTGCAAACTGTGATTAATATGTCAATACAGCTAAAGCACAACTACAGTCATGAATTTGGCCTTTGATAAAGTTCAACATTACACTGTCAGCCCCACTATAATTACACATAGTTTATGGATTCATCTCCGTTCCAGTCGGGTGTGAAGCATTCTGTTTCTGTAGTCGATTGTGTAATCAATCATGAGCACGGAGCACCGGCGTGTCCCCTTTCCTCTCACAGCGCTGCTGCCTGTCTTGTTTGGTATAATTGTCTGGCTTGTGAGACGATCAGCAGGTTCCCATCCTTTGACTCATAAATTCATCACTCAGGCTTTGGTTTCAGGTCTGAGAGCGGTGGCACGCAACCAAAAGTCTGAGGAGAGAGTGAACCCTCCACAATCACACCTTCGCTGCAGTCCCTCCCTTTCTCTTGTTCCCTCAGGCTGTTCCTGTCTTCTCGTGCTCACTGGCATGTCAGACAGTAGAAGTACAATGCCACTCTCTTAATCATTCAGGTGGTTCCCCTTAGGGACAGCGCACTGCTTGTTTATCGCTCACATTGTGACTAAATCGTTTTGGTATGTCTCATCTGAAGGAAAAAAAACCCAGAGGTGAGACAACAACAACAACAACAACAACAACAATAAGACACTGAAGCACAGCAGCTGCAGAAAACACCAACAAAACTAAATGCAGTCATTCACAGATAAGGTGTGAAGCAAAAATGTCATAATCACAGTGTAATGAAACACCGACATGCTACGCTCAAGGAAAAGTTTTGGTACTTTATTGAATTTTTAATCAACATTTCTGTGTTGTAAACGTCCAATTATACAGCAATAAGGGCTTTTTAACAAGCAGGAGGGCTGACAGTGAACACACACTCTGCTCTGCACTGCCCCCTTCTGACTGTAAACTAAATAGTCTGATCTGATTTTCACTGGACCCCAAACATCACATTTCAGTCCATACGAGGAGCTTCATTTTCTATTATAGCTGCAGGTTATAAGAGTCAAACCAAGGCCTGAAAAACTTGTTCAGTCGTCGCAAGAGACTCCCCTCGGCTAAAAGCTTATTTTAAAAAGCTGTTTTTACAATGTCTAGTTCAACAAAAGAATAATTTAAGGAAAGCTGCTTCAATACAACATCCTCATTGTTTCTTTCAGTATTTTTTTCCTTGTTTGATCTAAAATAAATCAGATTCATATACTGAGAAAAACCACCACAGCCATTACTATTCATAGATGAGCTCATCCTTAAATTTACTAATTTGCAAAATAAGGTCTAAAGGCAGCCATCCATCATCTATACACCGCTTAATCATCATCAGGGTCATGGGGGGGGCGGAGCCTATCCCAGCTGACTCAGGGTGAAGGCAGGTTCACCTGGACAGGTAACCAGTCTATCACAGGGCTACACTTAGAGACAGACAACCAAGCACACTCACATTCACACCTACGGACAATTTACAATCACCAATTAACCTCAGCATGTTTCTGGACTGTGGGAGGAAGCCGGAGAACCCGGAGAGAACCCACGCTGCACGGGGAGAACATGGAGACTCCACGCAGGAAGATTCCGGTGCCCCCACCGGGACGCGAACCGGCAACCTTCTTGCTGCGAGGCAACAGTGCTAACCACACCCTAAAGACAGCAAATGATGCAATAACTTTTGTACAAACTAAAACTACGTTCTTAAGAATATGTAACAGTACATTACATTTAATCCAAACACCAGTAGTTTAGGAATTAACCTGAAATAAAACCAGAAATACTTTTTGATATCTTGTATCAAAGAAAAATTCAGGGAGGACAGCATTGAAGCCCACCTTTAATTGGATCGTTAAAAAATTAGCAACAAGAGTGCATTTTGTTTTTTTTTTAAACTTTATTTACTTTGCAAGCAAGAAAAACAACTATACATTACATAAGAAGCGAATGCTACACTTAAGACTAAACTCGTCTGTCAAGCTGTGATGTTTCATCTGTCAACATCTGGGGCTTTTGGGACAAAGTGTTTTTAACAAAAATCAAAAGTGTTAGAAGGATGTCCTTACTTTGGATCTCCATCAGTCAAAACGTTGCATCATCATGTTGAGGTCTGTCAGCGTTCAGAACAAAAAGGGCCACAAGCTAAAGCAGCTGCATGATCAGACACGTGTCAAACTCCAGAGTTAGGAAAACGTACTTGGAGGAGACAACAAAGGTCAACAGTAGGCAGGGAAACAGACAAACCAAGTTCATGCTTCATGTTTAGCCAACTACTGATTTATTGGCATTACAGCCACACGTGATCTGAGGCGCCTCTAGAGATGCTGTCACAGTCCCAGATGTCAGCAGTAACTCTGGTGAGCACAACGTCACCATAACTGATGGAAATGATGCTTGAAAACAGCCCGATAAATTACAAACAAACTGCTACAGACACCATGGAATTAGCATTTCAGTTGCAGTGTGTGAAATGCATGCGATTGTAAACACACATCAGGGTGGGCTACATGTAAACCATCATATGACACAGTTTGTTCATCATTACAGGGTTTGGCACATCTGTAGCATCATCCTTCTAATATCACCCGCATTACTAGAAAAACATGGCCATGTTGTACATCATCGTTTAGGATAGTTTCATGGCAGTATTATGTTTTTATGATATATGTTCTAAATGTCATGAGAATGTTTGGTTAACTCCACCCATCTGGAACATGCATGTGTCTTATGGGGAAGTTTACAGTTATTCAGGTCTGCCAAGAACAAGAGTTACGCAGCCATACGTCCACACAAACAGCTGCTGCTTGCTACCATCATCCCTCCGGTACATACGGGCTAGTAAAGTATTCCACTGTGCTTTTAGAATACGTCATGGAGGATAAAACATGTGTTGAGAACATCTCTCAGTGCATCTTGTAAATCTACGGTGTTGAATCCCCTCTCTTCGTTTCCAGGGTGGGCCATCGTGGAGAGGGACCATAACTAAACACAACTGAAGCAGGTGTGACTGCGCATTTTGTCCAGAATGCAGAAAATGAATCAGGAAGAGATTTTTACAATAAAAATTGTGAACAAGGGGAAGAATTAAAGAAAAAACCTGATTATTGTTAGAAAAAAAAGACTTCAAAAACTACGAACAAATCTTTTACAAAATGAAGCCGAGCCCTGTTTTGAGCAGACACTCGGCCACGCTGATGTTCCTCCGTGTTGTGATGCTGATGTCGTCACACCTCCAGAGGTGAACGCATTACAGTTCCAGCTGCAGGCGAGATTCTCTGGCAACTTGTGCCGCTTGTCCTCCAACCTGTCACCTCTTCAAAAGGCTGTTAATAGCTTTGACTTCATCAGTGGACAGCGGGGAGAGATTGTAGCCCCTCAGCTGGGGTTTCCCTGCAAACAAACAGAAAGACATCCATCATGGTCGCCTTTATCAAAACACATTTGATTATCGTGAAGCTCTAAACCAGGGCTGGGCAATCCTGGTCCTCGAGAGCCACAGTCCTGCATGTTTTAGATGTTTCCCTCTTCCATCACACCTGATTCCAATGATCAGGATGGTCATCAGGCTTCTGCAGAGCTTGATGATGAGCTGATCATTTAAATCAGGTCTGTTGGAAGAAGGAAACATCTAGAACATGCTGGATAGGGGCTCTCAAGGACCAGGATTGGGCAGCCCTGCTCTAAACAGACATCAGCAACTAAACTGTCTCTAAATTCACAGTGAATGTCATAATGCTGGGGCGGGTTTAATCTTTTCAACCGCTTCACCAGATGAGTACGAACTGAAATGCAACCCGTCCCTGTTAATCCTTGTGAGGTCCACAGCTATGTGACTGAATGCAGACTGGACTCAGTTTCCACGACTGTTTCCAACAATCAAACCACTGGGAGACATTCAGTTTAACAAGACATCAGCAGCAACTGGAGCACAATCAGAAACAGCTTACTTCCTATACATGCATAAATTACTGGAGAGCAGACCTACATATTCCTCCTGTACAGACTGCAGCCAGAGTGCAGATGTGATGTAAATATTTCTCCTCTGAACTGTTCATGGATCCAGAGAGGAGTGAAAAGACAACCAAACACTGGTTCACATGGCAGAAACAAAACGTTCAGAATGAATGCCTGAAACTCACTTTATCAAAAAGGTTTCTGCTAATTAAACAGTCCAATTGTAAGAAATTTCCAAACCTTCTAAGAGTGGAGTCTGCACCACTGGTATCAATGGAAGTCTAATGTTTATGCTAAAGCTTAACTAAACTAATTAATATTGCCATTAAGGTACGAGGCTGGATTATGTACAAAAACAGAACCACTTTTAAATTAACACCCTGACTGCCTTGGTTCTGATCAAAGCAAACAAATATTTTGTTTTTCTGTGAAAAAAAAACAGGACTTTTCACCAGATTGCTTCAACATCTATCTTGAAAGCCTCACAATCAGCTTGTAGATAGAAGCAACAACATGTCAACACCTCACATGCTGCTGTGAACCTTCCCGTAAGCAAACTCCCTTATTTTTAATAAACGGAAAAAAAATAAACTGTGTATCCAAGAACTCTTTCTCTTAAATTGAGTTAAAAAGTCAACACATCCTGCAACTTAATGTGCACAAAACGTTAGTCTGTTCATGACATCATGGTCCCGAGGCATTCATGAAACCAACTTAATGAATCTTAGCGAGCTACTCTTACATTAGCCTCAACAGACTAGAATTGATCCAACAGATGTTTTCTTGCGTTGCCTGATCTACAATCGTGAACAAAAGCTTCAACACACTTGTCATACGTTTCCAATGACTCCTAGAACTCTGAATTTTCATTACAGAATAATTGGGAGACATTTGTCTTAGTCACAAACAATCAATCATGCATTTCTGTTACAGATATTCTGGAAGTACGACAAAATCTGCATATAGTCTTTACAAGTGTAAGGAAACGTTTGTTCATGATGTCTGAGGAATGGTCTGGCTGCATCCCATAATCACTCTGCTATAAGTAGAATGCTCTAGTGTGTATTTGATTATTATTTTTTAAACTAATCAAAATAGTTTCAGGCAGTGTTGAACCCAAAGCAGCAACTATGTCCTACAAAACAAGGTGACAGCCGGCGAGCGACTGAACGGTTCCACTCTGTGTACCTTGCATCTCATTGAGACGATTGACTTTTGCTTTCAGGCCTTTGCGAAGGTCATTTATCTCCTTGTCCAGCTGCTCCTGGTCTAAAGATGAGAAACAAAGATCATGAGAGTTTAAAATGACATGTAAAACAAATCACAGCTATAATGAAAATGTATTCAAGATACTGAGATGTGTTCATTTAGAAGTGTGAACCTTTCTGAATCATCTCTCTTGTCTTGGATTTGGGGAATTTGATGAACATGTTCCCAAAGCAAACCTTCACTTTCTCTGCAAATGTGAGCACATGAATTAATCAGACTTTATTTATATGACACTTTTCATTCAAATGAAATGTAACACAAAGTGTGTTATAGATGAAAGGAATGAAAATGCAACTAAACAATACAAACAACCTCCCACTGCCAACATCATGTTATCTATGAAGGACTCAAACACACAGGGATCGAGGAAGTGAAAGAAAGGCTTTCCTAAATAACACATGCAATGAGGAAACACCGGATGAGATAACGTGTAATAAAACAGGATTCATACAGAAATAAAATATAATATCTAATTATAAATATAGATAAACAGGTTGAGGGCAAAATAGAAGTAATAAACAGGACATTGAACAGACTAAAATATGCAAATGAGTGAATAAATAGAGAAATCAGTAAATCAAATCCTTTCTAAGAAGAGTGATAAATAAATAAAATCTATTATCAATCAAAAAGTCTAAAACAGAAGGTCTGGACTTTATGTCGGTGCAATTTCTGTGGCACATACAACCAATATTCCAGCTATACACCTGACCCATATCGAGATACTCAGCTATCTTTCCACAGTAGCATTATGCAATCTCTGTTTGTTGAAATTAGGCCATGAGTTTCTAGAAAAAGCACAAAAGCTTTCACACTTCTGTAGCAAGGATGTGTCACTTACCTGAATCTGACATTTCATGTTTCAGTGCATTCAGTGCCTCCCTGTTCCTGTTTCTCTTTGTGTCCAGGTCCACAATCTAAAATAAATGACCAGATCTCCTTAATTCTTAACATTACAAAGTAGGGAATCGCAAAAATGAAATGCCCAGCTCATCATAAAATGTTAAAGAGTAAATGAAGGTTAGCAAAAGTCCTAAAATAACAAGCGGTAGTCAATTAAAAACCAAGCTAAGCAACAAATAATACAGGAATACTGGCCAGGAAGAACAGAGGCAGATAAACTCCTGGTGCTTGTCATATACTCATTTCAACACATTATTGCTCTGGATTACTAATTTCAAGCATGAATACTTAATCATAGTGCTTGAGGTGTGTTATTTTTGCCAGCTGAGGTAAATAAAGGCTCCAGTCTCTATTTAAGTGAATTATGGCAATAGAAGTTTTATCTTTAAAGAGCCAACTGCCAAATATAACAGTTAATGGTACAGAAAATATACAGACTTTATATACAGAGGGGTCCAAAACTGAGAGACCAACAATGGAGATTCTTGTAATTTGCATTTATATTGAATTCAAACTCATTGCGACGACTTTTAACCATTTTTTAAAAATGTCAGTCATTTCCCAAGTTGTGGCTCCGCACCGCTGAAATACTGATTTTACAACCGCAACGTCGTCTGACAGCCTCACCAGAGTTATAGATGTCTGCAGTGAATTCAGTGATGTTTCCATGTAAAATAATCGCTCAGAAAGAAAGTTAGAAATGCTTGAAAGTCCAAGTCTCACACACTCATCGTGACAGCTGATGTGCCAGGGCTCAACATTCAAATATTTGTGCTGAAAAGTTGACAGACACACTCCGGAGATGTTGAAGACTTTCATTTATTTGCTTAAAAAAAACAAAAAAACAGGCACAATTTGGGATCTTTAAATATTGACAAAAAAAACCCATTTAGAATAGAAATAGAACAGAAAACTTGTATTATCATTGCACAGTGTACGACGTAAATTAGGATGCAATCCTGTCAGTGTGTGTTCACAAAATCAGATAACGTTTAAAGCACAGTAAGAAATGTGCAAATATAAAATATTTAAAACCAATCGTATGTACAAGTTTATCTATGAAAAGTTTTGAAGATAGTTTATTTGGTGTATTAAGAACTATAACATCAGTGGGGTGACTGGATGTTGCACATTACTACATGAAATAAGTATGACTAATATCTAAGACTTTGAAAGTCCTGATCACAGAAACCTTCTCTGGGAAATGACACACCTTTGATTGCAGCATTCTAACTGGTGAACTAATCTAAACCCTCGAAATTAACTGAAGTTAAGCAATTTAGTTGCTTGCTTCGTAACAGAATATTTATTTTACCCACATTAACGCAGTGTTACCAAACAATTTCCCGTGTTAGGTTTTCTTATCCCACCAGAAAGACAATTATCTGGAAATATATTTCAGCTATAATAAGCTTAGTGAGGCAACAATTTCACGAACTAGCGTAGCTGCTAACTGTCATCGTTAGTTACAGTTCAGTTAGCTCCACATATCAGGCCTCCTGGGTGTCCGTGCTGTTACTAACCAGTTATGGTTACCAAGTTAGTATTTAGTTAAGACAGAAACACAATAAACCGCAAATATATTTCAGCTATAATAAGCGTAGTGAGGCAACAATTTCACGAATTAGCGTGGCTGCTAACTGTCATCGTTAGCTACAGTTCAGCTAGCTCCACATATCAGGCCTCCCGGGTGTCCATGCTGCTACTAACCAGTTATGGTTACCAAGTTAGTATTTAGTTAAGACAGAAACACAATAAACCGCAAATATATTTCAGCTATGAAAGGCTGAATGTCAGCAACGAGCCAACATCTTCACTCGTTAGCGTAGCTGCTAACTGTCATCGTTAGTTACAGTTCGGTTAGCAGTTAGCTACACATGCTACTATACAGTGTTTGTTGCCGAGTTAGTATTTAGTTACCTGCTGTTTAGTTGTGAGGACATCCTCTGCTGCCTCCTCAACTTCTGTCAAATATTCTAAAACACGTTGGGATTCAGCGTCCATACCGGTTGTGTTGCTACAAAAATACGTCCGGTGCGAAACAACGACTGGAAACTGGACGGACCTTCCGGAAGACAACGCGCTCCTCCGTCTTCTTCGTGTGACATATTTGCGGCAGAATAGACGCTGAGGCGCGCTACTGCCCTCCACAGGCCATTAGTGGAACTTCACTGACACAGTTAGAGCCCAGACACTCGGTTACAGATGTTCCTCATTAATTACTGACTGCAGTGTTTTATTTTGCATCACACTGAACATTACCAGGATTTCCTCATTTAACTTGATCCCTTATATTCAATTCAATTTTAATTAAATAGCACCAATTCACAACATATGTCATCTTAGAGACCAATCTAAAGGTTCCTTTGGATTCCCTATGAGCAAGCACTATATATGTTCCTATATCACCTTTTCAAAATCTCCTCTAACTCATTTTCTGTGAAACTGCATCAGAACTGCCAGCGAAAAGCAATATTCAAGTCCTGTCAATACATTTAAAGTACATTTAGAGCCATGTTCTGAGTCGGCAACTTATCTCATTTTGATTGCTGGTTCTGGTGAAGCTTCGACTTTATTCTTGTGATTATTATGTCATAGTTGAGTTGATTTACAGGATGCAGCAGGTTTTCCTTCAGGGCTTTCTATCTCTAATGTAGCTGAACTGAATTAGACTGATCTGTCATGTTTTGTCGCAGAGTAGCTTCAGCAGTAGTTGTTGTCATGATCCTGGCAGTGAATAACTCCTGTTCTTAAGTTTTAGAAGTGGGGCGGAAAAAAGCCGAGGTCTTAAGAGGTTAACCTGAAGAATTCACACCGGCCACGTAGGACAGTTTGGTATCCTTTAATAACTTTTCTGATGATGTTTTTTGACAGACCCAGTCGTGTGAGCTACTGCATTTACATCACAAACCTGCAGTGGTGAAAAATCTTTCATACAAATATATACATGGTGTGTTATGCTGACAAAGGCTTACTGGGTTAATTCAAATGAAAAACAAAAGGCTTCAGATAGAATTATCCACAGGCTCTTGTACATACGATCGATCCTGTAAACATCCACCGGAGCATTAGCTTATGTGAGTGCAATCACAGCACTGGAGTAAACGTAATCACGTAACTTGAATAAATTAGGTAAAATAATGTTTTATATCATATTAATAATGAACAGTCTTGCTATACTTGTTCTCAACCCGTACCAACAATTAAGAATTACTGAAAATATACATTCATAATCTGATGTTTAAGGTGGTGACCGTAGCTGTGGCATTCAGATTACATGTACAGTTTCTAAACTTGCTGTTATGTGACAAATTCAACCTGCTTTGTCCTGCTTGGCCTCCGTATAGGAGAGTATTTGGACCCCGGTAAGTTGTCCATTATTGCGGCGACAGCGTCTGGTTTTATTTCCCGTCCCTTAAACTCAGCTGCTCTTCTCCGCTCAGCTCCTGCTTTCCTGCTCTCAGAGCCGCTCCGTCTCTTTTCTGACCCGTTGTGTTGCCTTTCTGCTGCGCCTCTCCTCTGCTCTGAACCGCTCCTCCTCCTGAACCCACCTGTCCAGCAGTCCAGCACGTCCCCCTTCGCCTCAGTACAGTCGGTGGCAGTGGGATGAGGCCTGGTGGTAGCACCTTGGACGGGGTTGCGGATGTTTCCTGAAGCTTGCATCCTCCTCAGATGGCTGTTGGTCCTCACAGGGCTGCTGAACCTCTGCACTCTGGAGCCCCGGTCTGAAGAGTGAACCCGACTCTCGCTGTAGCTCCTCTTGGGGAGCGACACCGGTAACCTGGTGCGCTCCAGCATCGGACTCAGTCTGGTCTGACAGGCGTGGCCGTGGGCCGAGCGGCAGCACGGCGTGCTGCAGGTGGAGAGGCGGATCCGGCAGAGCGTGCACGCACAGCTGGACAGCAGGGCCGAGTGGCTGGCCATGGAGGACAGGAAGGTGAGGGGGAAGGCACGCTGACACTGGAGGATGCACTTGGGAGAGCTGAGGCGTGACGAGGCAGCAACAGGTGATCTGCGACAGGTGGATAGAACTTCTGACGCCGCCACCTTCCCGCTCTCCTCCTGGACAGTCTGGATCTGGCACCACTCCAGCTGCAGCAGCCTCTCCAGGTACCTCTCCAAAGGGCCCACGGGCCTCGGCCGGGGAGCCCCTCGGCCCTCCATGTTGTAGAAAACAGCCAGCTGACTGAGGCTCCACGAGTTAAAAGGCGGAGGGAGGAAGTCTGGGAAGTCGAAACCACCAGAGCTCCGTCCTCTGGCTCTGTGGCTGCGAGACGAGCAGTGTTCGGCCTCGATGACCTCCGGCCTGAGCTCAAGCTGCGGAGGAACTCGGCTGCAGGGCGACCCGGCCAGTCTTTCTGACTCAGACAGGTCGGTGTCACTGTCCTCATCTCCGTGGCCGCTCAGACCTCCGACCTCCAGCTCCGGCGAGTGTCTCTCCGGCAGATTGGTGCTGGAATCGTACAGGCGGTGGCAGGAAGAGGCTGCAGTCTGTCTGCTGCCCCTGAATGCTGAGCGCTTGTGTTCTCTGTGGCGCCGAGCCGCCGGCTGCACCTTTGACTCCATCCTGTCCTCGGCAGGAGACGCTGGCTGAGACTTGGACTCTGAGGTTCCCTGAGCGCTGCAAGGAAACGTAAATGTTAATATTTCAGCACAAAGGCAGCCCAGAATAACAGCGAATGTGCAGTGATGTCACCTGTTTTGAGGAGTATTGCGTTTGGTGGAGGAGGCGTTGGACTTGTGCTTTCTTCTCTGCTGCAGCCTCTGCGATTACATAACAGACATTACATTAAATGCTCGACTTCTCACTAACAGATGCTCATATTTATTCAAACTTAGGCTGAAACCACTGATTGTCCTCACTAGCAATTAATTTGGCTTTATGACGCGTCACCTCACCATATGGACACTGTGATGTGGCGTTTGTGAAAAAGCAAAGAATAAAAGCAGTGGCTGCACGCTGGCCAGTTGCAGCGGCCAGAGTTCACCTCAGCTGAAGCTAATTAACCAACTTTTCCTCTTTCTTGTGTTTAAATATTCTTTTTGATGTTCCAGCATGTCAGCATGTTTCTCCCCGAGCACTTCGGCTTAAAACACAGTGTTTGAAGCATCTTTTAGGTTTAGCATTAAAGCTCTGACAGCATCTTATATTGCATCTTCAACAGCATAAAATTATGGCTTTATAATTAAAACTCCTGTTACACAGTTTGGCGAAGAGTCTTCAAAGCCTTTTTCTCTCTACTTCACTGTTTCTGCTGAAGTTAGAGACTGAACAGATTCTAAAAGGATTTTATGAATCACTACAGAAAGTAATATCTTAAATAACCAAAAGTCTATTAAAACAAAATGAGCATTTATGAAGAAAAGACTAATACAATATATTAATCATGTACAAATGACTAACTTTCTGGTTTAAGATTTATGTAAATTAACAAAATGACAAATGATAAAATTAAATTGAATTTGTAATATTTTTTTTGAACAACTGGTCAAATTTAAAAACAAAACAAATAAACAACACTTTGACAGTTTGGCCACATGAGTGCAGCTTTTAGATCAAAATTTCCCACAAATGCAGAAATCTGAACCAAATACTGAAAACACAACCAAACCAAATGCAGCTTGTTTTTCAAAATGTGTTTAGTTGTGTTTTCTGTATTTTCAGCATTTTTTTTCTGATTTCTTACAGACTTCTTGAGGTTTTGTTTTCTTCTGCTCACATTTCGTCTGTCTGCGGTGCTTTTTTTTGTTTGTTAAGTTGCCACCACAGAATTTTCATGCAAATCACCGTCTAGATTTAAAAAGAACAAAAAAAAGTCTGTTAAATCTAAAATGTGGTGTGAAGTCTTGCTGATTGTTCTCACGCTGATAAAACATTCTCAGCTGTCCTGTGAAACAAACTGTTCTGAAGTAGAACGTCTACAAACGCAGAAACGTTGGAAAAAATAGTGACAACAACAAGAAATCTAAAAAATTATTCAGTATCAACACATTAAAATCTGTCAATTATTCATATTGGATAAAGTTTTCTACACACATGAGACTATTTTCTACTTAAACCTGTGTAATATAAATCATATCTGTTCAATATTAACACTTTTTACAGTATTTCTGCTCATGAAAGAATCTGTGCAAAACCCCTGATGTGTGTAATGTTGTTATTTGCACATCCAGAGGACTTTGGACAATCTGACCAGTTGTTCATTTTCCATTTTCCTACTGATGTGTCTTAAATGTCTGAACCAGTGCACATCCCCCCTCTATGAATAATATATAAATGATCCCATCTGATTATTTTTTGATCACTTATAATAAATTGAGAAAAGCAAAAAATTCCCACACTGCTTTTTTTTTTAGTAATTATTTCTGTGTGTCTGATCTTTGTGTGTGATGGGAGGTCAGCTGACGGACACCTACTTTCTCATTATTCCCGTCCTGGCTGGGCGGCTGAAGGCTCCTCCTTTGTGACTGCCGCCTTCCCATTTTGTTGCTTGAGGAAAATACAGAATAAAAAGCAAAAAGCAAAAAAAACAGTAGCAGTGCGTAAAAAAGCATAAATGTAACACAGAGACAATAACATGCGCGTCGCTCTGCAGCGCGAACATGGCGGAGCTCTTTCTAATATGTTCACATCACACAGCACCGAGCAGCGTCCCTCCACCGAGGCGACAGCAGCCCAGAAACACCGACAGCCACCGTCTGTCTGCACCGATTACCACCGTTTCAGAGTAATAGCAGTTAATGAGAGGCTACCTGGCCACATTGGGCCTGTTGGTGCTCCACGCAGCCTTCCTCTTCCAGTCGCGCTCCCTGCTGGAGACCCGCTCCGCGCACCGCGGTGCCGCCCGCTCCTGCACGATGCTGCCCATCCCCGCGCACGGCAGCGCCAATGAAATGGGCGAGTGGGCTGTTCACGGGAGACACGGAGCTGTGATCATAATGAGTGGAGACCCCACATCCACCAGATGCATCCTCTTCCTCTGTGATCAATGGATGAGTGCGTGGTGAACAATTCAGCTGCCGTCCAGCAGAGCGCAGCAGCTCCACACCTGTTCACCGCACAGACACGATTCATAGGCACATATACAGGTATCCTCACCTATGGAAAGCCCTTTGAGCATTTATTGGATATCCTTGACATCAGACATTAGTGTTCTTCACTAGTTCGGTCTTTGTCAGCTCTAGTTGGACATTCAGCCACACTAGTTATCACTTTGTCTCACTAGTTGCACAAAAACTCGGACTAGTCACTCATTCTCAGCAACCAGTGGCACTTTGGTCCAACTAGTGCCAACAGAAGTCTAACTAGTGACACCTAAAACCACACTAGTAGTGCCAAACTCCCAACTAGTCAACTTTTGGACACCCAAGTGGCCCACTGGACCAAACAAGTAACGTTCAGTCTTACTAGTTAACCATCCATCCATCATCTCTACACCTTAATCCTCACCAGGGTCATGGGGGGCGGAGCCTATCCCAGCTGACTCAGGGTGAAGGCAGGTTCACCTGGACAGGTAACCAGTCTATCACAGGACTACACTTAGAGACAGACAACCAAGCACACTCACATTCACACCTACGGACAATTTACAATCACCAATTAACCTCAGCATGTTTCTGGACTGTGGGAGGAAGCCGGAGAACCCGGAGAGAACCCACGCTGCACGGGGAGAACATGGAGACTCCACGCAGGAAGATCCCGGGTGTCCTCACCGGGATCTGAACCGGCGACCTTCTAGCTGCGAGGCGCTAACAATGCTAACCACTGGTAAGATGCAAATCTTTCACATGTTAAAGATGTGGGATGTGGTGCAAGAAGAGATTTTCATCATGGATCTGCAGCAACTGTGTGATGCTTTCATGTCAACATAGAGAGCAATCTCTGGAATATTTCCAGCACCTTGTGGAAATATGCCATGAAGAATTAAGGCAGTTCTGAAGGTAAAAGAGACTCCAAACTGGAACTAGATGTTCCTTTAAATGTGAACATGATACATCCTTTCTGTCTCATGTTGAATAAAGCTGTGAAAAAGCCCTTTGAATCAGTCTAAAGTAAAATACTTTGTGAAAATAAACCCACAGCTTTAGCACATAGAGGTAGGAGGCATCAACCACTTCACACCCTGACTGGTCATCCACGTGGACGTGAGAGGAGACGTTGAACTTCTCTTCCTCAACTCCCGTCACTTTTCATGTGAACAACAGGAAATACTTAAAACTTGGAGAGATTATGGGAAAATGTGCATCATGACCTGTTTTTATTTGACACTTTGGCCCAGTTTCCAGGTCGTCTGCCCTTAAAGTGTCACATTTTAAATATCTTGCTGCAAAAATAGGAACTAAAGTAAAGCTGATGCAAATCATGACAACGAAAAACAAAAACAATCCGACTGATTAAAATCTCTCCACTTCTTGTCACTTCAGCATCTTGTTGGCATCAGTTGAACTCACTGTTAGAAAATGAGGACAAATCTTTCTCTAACATTTGCATTCTGTTTAATATCATCCAGCAGTGATGATGCTTATTGTAGACTCCACTTAGATTAGGATAAGTTTACCTCGTGTCCATCACAGCATCCCAACAATCTCTTTCTGTTGCCTGTTTAAAACTGAATATTCATCTTCAGTCTCTGTGACGTTCTGATATCTGATCACCTGAAAACAAATGTGTTCTGCAGACAATCATGTTTATAATCCTCCAAACCAGATGATGAAAAATGAAAGTAACTGTGGAACAACTACGTTCTACAAAATGACACAATGAAAAGACATGAAACAGCCGACAGGAATAACGAGGCTGCAGCAGTGGGGTTGCTCAGCGGTTTCATTTATAACCAAACATTCTTATTGGAAATGTTACATTTCTTAAGACCTTTCTGACCTAATGTAAGTCATATTAGAAATTTAAAAATCTCGTCTTGTAACTAAATCACAGTTAAGTCACCTGGCTGCCTACAAACATTCTTCATTTGCTGACAACACAGCTCATGACTCTGCTACGGTGGCGTGTTTGACTGATTTAAAACACTCGTGTGATCGGTTAGCATGTTAAGGCACAGACAGGATCATAGTCTGAATGACGACACACATCGCTGGCTTCTGTCTCCTGTGTCGTAGCTTAATACTCGATGGTCACTGCCTTCGTCTTCAGGTATTCATTGAGGGCCTCTTGTCCTGTTAGAGCGACACAGACATTGACAGTAAATTAAAGGCTGATGGACGTTGTCTTACTTATTGTCTTGCAACAGCCTGATGTTGAAAAGTCAGAGCAGCTGTTAACAGGTAAAATGAAAACTACAACTCCCTGTTTTATTTTCATTAATAACTGATCTGTTTCGTCATTTAGCCTCTTGATTGTTTCATGTATAAAATGCAAGAACAGACCATAATGTCCATCATCACTCCTGACTTCCTCCTAACGGGGCTCTGGTGTCCCTGTAAGTCATGCTAATTTAACACCCTCCACCTCTGTTGTAAGGATTCAGGTAAATGTAGCGTCACTCCAAGAAAAGAAAAGAAAACAAAGTTTGTCTTCAGTCTGACCAAAGACATTCTAACCAACATTCTGTGAGCTGCATTGGATAGAGATCAACATTCTGGGATATTTGCTGCATTACCAAATGACCCAACAATTTCATCTGTGCACCAGTTTGTGTGCATGTAGGAGGTTCTGTTTCGGGTGTGTTGGCACAGGATCGGTCGCTGCAAATGAGCTGGTACTGGTTGTCCCCAAACAGCGTCTGAACATCATTTTGTATGAATCCTTGTATCTTTGAATCTCTGCAGTAGAGGTGGAGAGTGCAAAGCTGGCATAGAGGCATCATCGCCTCATTAATGGCAAATATATCAAGTTGAAATAAACTGGAATTATCCCCCTTAGATGTCTGGTTTTATCCCACATCCAGTCAAGAACCCAGCGTCCCATCATAGAGTCCAACCGTTCACACTGCGCTGCTCTTTTTGGAGATTCCCCAAATCGACTATTTATTTAGGCCAATGGTCGTCCCAAGAGCACTTTTTTCTGGACCTGCAGTCAGCTTGTGCTACTTTAACTTACCTATTACCCATCATGCATTGCAATATGGATGTGACAATGTAAAGGAAGTAGTAGGACAGTGAAGAAGAAGTATGGTCAGTAGATACCAAGATTAACTAAAGCCTGATTTAAAACTTCGAGGTAAGTTTACAAGTGAGGCTTAATGTTGTCTCTATGCAGCTACACAGCAGGAGCAGCAGTTCTTCTCACCCAGGTCTTTGCCAAATCCAGACTGCTTGAAGCCTCCAAAAGGCGAGGCCACGTCGGTCTTGTTGTAGGTGTTGACAAAAACAGTGCCGGCGTTGAGCCTTTCGCTGACGTACAGGGCTTTGCTGATGTCTCGTGTGAAAACACCCGACGCCAGGCCGTACTCTGTGGCGTTGGCCCTCCTCAGCACTTCATCCACCTCACTGAAGGTGGAGAGATGGAGAGCAGGTGGAGCCAGATGCATGTGGTTAGTTTGATGGACAACGTTTTTGAAGCTTAAAGCAATCTGGCATTGTTACTTACCCACTCTTGAACTTGGAAATGATCATTACGGGGCCGAATGACTCCTCAATGGCAATGAACATGTGGTCCTGCACATCAGTAAACACCGTGGGTTCAAAGAAGAAACCTGGAAGCAGACGTACAACAAGACAGCACACACTTAGACCTGCATCAATAATGGACATGGACTCAAGAGCTGGAACACACTGACTGATTCATGTCTTCAAGCATCTGCTGCCTCACCTGGTCTCTGTACCTGTTTACCACCACACACCAGGGTGGCTCCCTCCTTGACCCCAGTCTGACAATACTCCACCAGCTTGTCCAGGTGGGCTTTGTGGTTCTGAGGTCCATGGTCTGTGGAGCGGTCCAGAGGATCACCAATCTTCATCTTCTTGATTTCTTCAATCTGAGAGAATCCAGAAGGAATTTAAAGGGTCAGATTTTTGTTGTTCAGAAGTCTGATATTAAAAACCATGAACAGTGTGTGATTAATAAAGAGCCGTACCACTTTCTTCACAAACTGGTCATGAATGGAGTCTTCCACAAACAGCCGACCAGCTGCAATGCAGTTCTCTCCCTTGTTAAAGAAAACTGAGCTCATGCCCTGAAATGCAGACAGGACACAGTGGTTTCACTTCCACGGCTGTTTAGATGTGTGGAAAATGACAAATGAAACCTCCTTTAAATGTACACACCATGCGCACAGCCTTGTCCATGTCGCAGTCGCTGAAGATGATGAGCGGAGATTTTCCTCCGAGCTCCAGAGAGACTTTCTTCACGTTACTGACTGCACAGCTTTACATCAAGGAGAACACACACACAGAAGGTGAGGAATCATGTGCGTTTTGTGTAGATAGTGTTGTGTAACGGTGCTTTACATCTCACCTCTTCATGATGTGTTTACCGATTTCAGTGGAACCTGTGAACCCCAGTTTACGGACGTCAGGATGGTCGGACAGACGCTGACCCACCAGAGCACCTGGAGGAACAAAACAAAACTTTCACAGCAACTTGTAGAGCTTCATTCATCAACCTCAGGCTCGTGTTGTGAATTCACCGGGTTGAATGTGTGTGTTCCTACCTGATCCAGGCAGGATGTTGACCACTCCTTTGGGCAGTCCTGCTCTTGCTGCCAGCTCAGCAAACTTCAGCGCCGTCAGTGGAGTCACCTGGACACAAACAGAAACAACCACTTATTGATGACTTAATGCTTTTAGTCTTTTATGGATAGAGTCTCACGAATACGAGTCTGACCTGTGCTGGTTTGAGGACGACTGTGTTTCCAGCTGCCAGACAAGCTGCTGTCTTCCAGGCCAGCATCATCAGAGGATAGTTCCAAGGAATCACAATGGCACACACTCTGGCAAGAAGGAAACGGGGGGTTTGGATTTCTTTAAAACTGCTATGCATCATGGGAAAAAAGTCTAAAAGTCTGCAGACATGCTAATGCTCTGTGAGGCTGTACTTAGGAACTGCTTTCAGCTAACATGCTAACATGCTAACATGCTGAGTAATGATGGGAAAGATTCACATCATTTGACAACTTAAGATGGCCGCTGCTCATCTTCTCATTTTTTGTCTTGATCACCAACACTAACAACAAAATAGACAGACACAAACAAACAGCCACCGTTCTTTAAAGACCATCATGCTATCCACAAACTGTATCTAAAAGACAGATGAATCCGTCAGGACGGAAAAGTGAAGCCACCATGGACATGCTTTAAACCTGCATTCTGTCTACCAGCCAGAAGGGGGCGACGCCTCCAGGTGCAAAAAGAAGTCAGACTGTATCGAGGTCTATGAGAAAATGACCATAATTCTCCCTTAATTTTCTACCTTTGAATGAGTTTCGAATGCAGCATTACGTCCATCCATCAAACGGATGATAAAGTGGGGCATGTTTTAGGGCGGGAACATCTTGTAAGTGACAGCTCACTATCACTGTGCATTGTGTCCTTAACTTCTCAGTCAGATCCACACTTGCTTGTTACACCTGATTTAAAAAAATCAACACGTAACGGTTAAAGGCCAAACTCAAGGCTTCAGTTCACAAACCAGTAAGTGATGTTTTGGCCTTTCATATAAAGTCCATGATGCTACCGAGCAATAGAAATGTGTGAAAAGCATGACTGTTAGCTGTTGTGCAATCACTGTGATTACTTCAACTTGGCACTTTCAGCAGCCGTCCACAAGCTTCTTGCAAGTTTCTGGTTGTATCTTAGACCACTTGTCTTAACAGAGTTGGTGCAGGTCAACTAAATCTGTTGGCTTTCTTATACACTTGATTCGTCATCAGACGGGTTCTTGATGGGGTTTTAGTCAGGACTTTGGGGAGGCCAGTCTAAAGCCTTAATCCAGCCTGATTTAGCCAATTCTTTACCATTTTTGTGCTGTTGGAATATCTGTGCCTGAGACCCAACCGTTGGGCTCATGTTTTTAGATTCCCTGAACAATCTGGAGGTTCTTCATGATCCCATTTACTTTGTGTAAAGCACCAGTTTCACGGGCAGGACAACAGCCCCAGAGCATGATACTACCACCACCATGCTTGGCAGCAGGTTTGGTGTTCTTTGGGATAAAGGCTTCACCTTCTTTCCCACAAACAGTTTTGTTCATTGTGGCCACATAGCTGAACAAAAAAGCGTGAATTCACTGGAGAAGGAGTCGTAGTAAAACAGTGAATACATCATTATGAAGCATCACAGACCTGTGAAACTATCAGTATTTGATCTGTTCGGCCCAGTAACGTTATCCAAAGTCTAGACAAGCTGTGTCATCATTTCATTTGAGCCCATTCATGTGTATGGGAAGCCAACACTAGTCTAGTCCCACATGCTCTGAACGGGTTTTACTGAGAAGGACATGAATATGCATGCTTTGTGGGCCCAGAGTTGTTAAAGTGCACAGAACATGCAGATACCTTATGACAGAAGCATAGGATGTTTTTTCAGCTTATGTGCCACTGGGCAACTTTCATCTGACTGAATGAGGTGTCATCTGTAATCCTGAACCCAGAGCTCCTCATCACACCAGAGGTCCTGCAGGTGTGTGATCATGAACCAAAGCAGTAACCAAACCAGATAGATACTAGATTTCAAAATATGAAAAAACTGGCCATTGTTTTCCGTTCTTCGTGTTTAACATGTTTAAATTCCACCCCTTCATTACTTACCCGATCGGCTCCTTCTTGGTGAAAGTCAGGTTGCGATTGGGCCTGGCCTGGTTGATGGGTATGGTGCTGCCCTGTGGAACAAGGACATCATATTACTCACATGTATTTACACATCTGTCACTGTGATGCATCAGGCTCTCCTCCAGTTGTACGAATGACGTGTCCAGGCTTTTAAATGAGCCGTCTTACCTGAATCTTGTCACACCAACCAGCAAAGTATCGGAAGGTCTGGATGGACATGCCCACGTGAGTCTTCAGCGCCAGAGTGTAAACAGCTCCAGAGTCAATAGATTCAATGGTGGCCAACTCCTCCTGGTGCTGCTCCATCAGATCAGCCAGCCTGGTGGCAGACGGGCACAGGGTCAGTGACGTCACAATGCAGTAATGTGTTAATTATAATGTATAGCATATGCAATCATTTTGCTTCACTTATAACTGAAGCATGTTTGCACTGTGTGTGTCCTTGAAGGGTTAACATCATGTTAAATGCACTTCCTCGTCCCTCATGAACTAATGATGACACATCTGACACGGGGACTCAGTGCAGCTTTCTGCTGAAGCTTTGCATTGATGCTTGTATCATTTTCATGAGGATTCAATTCAGTTCAACACAAAGTTGACACCTCTTGGTTTCGTACATGGTGACTGGGCCATGCACTGCAGCCAACATGTAACGGCTGAATATGGCAGCATTTCCTTGTTCACAACCACAAGAAACACATGTGAGTGCTGAGTGTGGGATGCTGCCAGTGTGTGTTTGTGCACTGACTTGTAGATGAGTCTGCCTCGGTCTCTTGGGTTCATCTTGCCCCACTCTCCCTCCTCAAAAGCCTCCTGAGCAGCAGCCACCGCCTTGTTCACATCACTTATCTGGGCCAGAGACACGTCACAGATGGCCTGCAGGACAGATACATGACATGTGAATCCCGTGGGTTCAGTCAGGCAGCGTTCTGCTGACATCCTGGACGAGGAAGGCAGACCTCCACCAGAGAGGACATGTGACCTCCAGCTGAAATAACTGGATTCTGTGACAGACAAAAGACTAAGTTCTGCTTTTAAATCACACTATTTAAAATGTCAACCAATCCCTCTGTTTCTGTTTATACGGTCTGTCGGACTGGAGCGGACCAGAGCCAGAACTCCACTATACCTGTACATAGGACAGAGTTATATGCTGCTACATTAATACTATACTTATAATCTTTATTACAGCTATGTAAACAGCCAGTACTACCCAGCACTGCACGAAAGCAGTTGAATGTTTGCATGAAATGAATGAATGAATGACAGCAGATGAAATTCTTCACTAATAAATTATATAACTGTTCTATTCATGATGATCCTTTAGGGATTATTAAATGTAAAATCTTCCTGCTCATGTGGTTGAATATCAGCTGTAGTTCAGCTATTGCTCACAAAACCAACTCTTGACCGTTTCATTTTAAATACCTTCAGCCCAACATCTAAACACCTCGACTTGGCTAAAGACAAAACACTTTGAACAGTTTCATGGTTTCACTGGTTTTATGGTGCTTTAGTAAACTTCTGTTTTAATTCCATAGATTATTTTCTGTATTATGTCTATATTAACATTCCTTCTGCCTTTTCTATTTAACATTTTGTCGTATTTTTTCCTTCCTTTCTTTTGCTTGTGTCTTTCTAAACCACTTTAAAACTTATTTTTGAAATCTGTCATATAAATATATTATCATTAGAAGCAGTAGTAGCATTAAATATAAAGATGGTGTATAATGAAGGACACAGAGTTTACATAGTGAACATAAAGTCTACAGAAGCGTCCACTACGGGGTTTATTAGTGATTCTCTTCTTCATGGTCTGTTCCTGCCTCACCGTGCCATCAGTGGGGTTGATGGTCTTGTAGGTCTTTCCTCCTTCTGCATCCACAAACTCTCCGTTGATGAACAGCTGATGGGGCATCTTTATGGTCATGTTGTTGATGCTCTTCTCCACCTGAGCGGTTAAACAGTGTGTGAGAAAAACAGTCAACATGTCGTCGTCTTGATCACAAACGATTCATTCACGCTCAGCTGCTCACATAGTCGACCACCAGCTCCTCTTCATCGTCCTCCCCTCTCAGCTTCCTGACGCACATCTGGATGAAGTCCTGGAAGGTGGTGTTCATGTAGACGTCCTCGTTCTGCAGCTGGCAGCTGCTGGCCCGAAGCTTCACCTCCTCCACCAGCCTGAAGGTACATGATGCATTATGGATACTCCTGCTCTTCACTGTTACAGCTGGCTGAGGTGGATTTATACAGGAGTGCAAGTGATGTTTCTATGACAAATTCATCTCTGGATTATCTCCTCAATAAACTGATTGTTTGGTTTATAAATATGGCAAAGTGAGAAATGTACGTCACCTTAAATGACTAAAAAAATAAATCCAAAGGAATAAAAGCAATCAAAGAAAAGTAGTCGTTACCATCAATGTGTGGCTTTTTTTCATGAAAAATGGCTTAAACCTTGATCAGAGTAACTGTAAAATAATGTTTTATTTCATTACTTGACTGATGGTGTCAGCTCCTGTTGTATTTACTGTTAGCTCATCATCTTATCTAACTTGTCAGATGTTTAGAAGGCAAAATCCTTTTCTGAGTGAAGCAGCAACTAGCAGCTGTTACATAAATGTAGTGGAGTAATCGTATAAAATACTTCACATGTGTACCTAAATACCATTTCTCCTCTACTTTGTTGTTGGTGCAGTGTTCCAAACCCTATTTTGGCCAAAAAAAGCTTCATACATACAGTGGATATAGAGACGTAGATTATGCTGTTCGATGAGAGTTTCATAAATGTGACATCACTGATCAAATAACTGATAAAATTCTGCTCCAGCTTGTCATCCAGAACGATGTTAGAAACCTTTAACAGCAACTCAGAAGGATGTGAGTGTGTGACGCTTTGCAAATTTTATCTGCAAAGCTCTGGATCCGATAACTGTTGATGTAACGTTGCCAACGCTAACGTTTACTTAGAAGTGTTGGTAATTTTAACGTGCATACAAGTGGATTCAGTCGGAGCTACTCAGGGAAGAACAAAACCCATACGTGGTTTACAGCCAGAAATGCACACTTTGCTTAAATACTGGGTTCTTTAAAGTGACACCAGTTGTGGACACTTCAGTCTCTCAACCAGCTTCAGGAGGTTGTCACCTTCAGCTTGTCCAACAGCCTGCAGGAAGTCACACAAATGGAGCTTTTCCTTCACTCTGGGGTCCAACTCATCCCAAACCATTTAAGTTCTGTTGAAGTTGTGTGATTTCATGATCTGCAGCTGTTTTTAGGCTCATTGTCCTGTTGAAAGCCATCTATGGTCCTGCTTAGCTCAAACCAGATGTTTCAGATCGTTGCATGTTTGGTTTTGTGTTGACTTGAACTTTGAATAAATGTCCAACAGTGTCCAATTTTACAGACTGACTGAGCTTCATTTCTTAAGGTAGTGATGGTTTGTCGTTTCTCATTGTTTAGTTGAGGAGTTCTGGCCATGATATGGATTATTACAGCAGTGAGAGGAGGTGGTTTGTTGCTACCTCAATACAACACAACAGATCGTCTCATTAAACAGGAATAAATTCCACCAAACAACTTTGCTACCTGGAAACCATTCCAGGGGATGACTTCATGAAGCTGGCCAACATTATTAACACTGTGCAAAGCTCGAACTAGAACCAATCAGGGGCTACTTTAGAAGTAAAAGGTTAGAAGCAGTTTTACTACCTGACCACATCCATGGAAGCAGCACCAGACTTAAAGAAATCTGTGGAATCTTCAATCTGACTGACATTAGTCAGGATGCTCTGCCACACTTCCTGGAGGAACCGGCATCAAAGATCAGCTCAGACACAACAGCTACACATTTATTTCTGCTTGATGTTTTGTTTGCTCTTGAATCAGTAGGGAAACGTTTCCTACCCTCATCTGCACAGCGAAGGTCTTCTCCTCCTCAGTGAGCTCCACGGCAGCACTGCCCCCAGACTTAAAGTACTGAGCTGCAGCGATCATCTTCCCATCCTCAAACTGCAGATTCTTCACCAGCAGCTGCAGAGAAAAAAGAAACAAAAACAGTTTCAGTCTGAGC